TTTGTGCTAAACTCGCCGCTGGAGTTCAGCCCACTAACAAAGGGCTCAGTTGCAGCTGAACTTCACTGTACCCAAGGGCCCCCCTAAAACGACCAGTCGTTATGGAAGGGGTCACATTACATCAGTCCAGCTGAGGCAGAGATCTGAATAGCTTGTTCCCAAATTGTGACTCGAGGAGAACACTCCCCAAGCATAAGGCTTTTACACCAAGAGCCGTCCACCATTTCCTGCAGCGCCGCGTCTTCAAAGCTGAAACCTGCAGGTAATGGCGACCGTGGTTGTCCGAGCACGTACGCGCAGCAAAGGAAGAGCAGCTCTCTGCAGCCTGCCCTCGCTATCTTCACAGTTCTACTGGTGAGCAAACCCATTGCAGACGCATCGTAAACACCTCCCCAGCCCCGGTTCTGATGGGAACTGTGTTGCTACACAAAAACTTTACTGAAGAAACGAACAGTCAGAGTGTAAGATTCTTACTGTGTTCACAAGATAAAAAGAGAATCTGTGCGCAAAATAACGGTGAACAGATTATGCATCTATTGTTACTATAGGTTTTAGTACTGGTATGTTGGTAAACTTTGAGCTGTAATAAACAGTTAAATAAAATACCACCTTCTCATGTATAACGTTTTCGCAAGGGAAACGCATCAGAGAGCGCCAAGAGGGTCGATAGCACCTTTCTGACAAGTGTTGCTGCTTGCATGTCGAAACCATAGGGCTCATGGGAGCACCTTGCTCAGATTTCCCTGCACCAGTGCCGCAGAAGTCTCTGCTGCGTTTGGAGTCAGTCCAGACTGACGTTAGCCCCCCGCTTTACAGAGCCTCTTCCATCAGCTGCAGCACCTCCTACCCCACTCTTGTAGCAGCTGCTAACGTGAGCAGAAAGCCATCCTTGCACCCGTGTCCAGCTCCGCCAGCCCGGGGAAGGCTTGGCTGAGAGCTGGCTGACCCTTCTCCAAAGAGCAGACATTACTCCTCCTGCAGCTGACTGCAACCACCCTACTGAATGGTGATGAGAAGAAAGCAGGAGGAACTCTCCTTCACTGCAGAGGAAGCTGGGCTTTCCACTCAGCAAAATCCTCCTCATCTCCCCGAGGTTTGCATGGCCGTCACATGCCTTGGCCTAGAACGGGCTTCCCTGCTGAGTGCTCGAACTGCCCGAGCTTCAGGTAGATCTTCGGGCTCCCCCCGAGCTCTGCTCGGACCCCAGCCGCCACTGCCGAGTGAGCTGGATGGGCTCTGCTCCCCCAGGGCCACCGACAAGAGGGGCTGAGGGCCTGGGGGAGCTCCGAGGCAGCTGCTGCGGGGAACGGGGAGGGGGTGTGCAGGCACGGCCGCATCGCCACCGCCCGCAGCGCGCGTTTGTGCAGCCCCGGGCTGTGCTTGGCCAACAAGGCTGCAGCAGACAACCCAGGGAAAGCCCTGGTCCCCGCAGAAGGCAGCCCCAGAGCAGGGGACCCAGAGACCCCCACCCACAGCAGCACGATGCTCTGCGCGTGGTATTGGGTGACGGAATCTCCCAGGAGACAGTGCTGGGGCGTTTCAGCAGAGGACCCTGCTACACACGCACAGCGATCACGGGGCCGTGGCAGGCAGTAGAGCGTGCACTGAGGAGCACGAGCCAGGGAACGCATGAACGGACTCGTGCCTGGGAGTGCTGCAGAGAAGGGGCTCTCCCCCACGCCCTCGCACCCTCCTCGCAGCTCTAACACCCCCTGCCCTGCTGTGACTCACACACGGTTTCATTTTCTTTATCAAGATGATGACAACCTGCTTCCTCGCCCTGGTCTCCCAGAACCACATGGATGCTCAAGCACGTCAGTGTCTGCACTGCTGCCTGCCATGTCTTCCTCATTGCGAGTGACAGTGGCTCTGGGTGTACGACACCATGGCCCGTGAGCTCAGGTCCTAGGCAGCACGCCACATGCGCCGCCCGGCTCTGCGCACAGATAGGAGCACAAGCCCTTTTGTCTCCGAGGCTCCAGAACCAGCCTCTCACCCCACCGCCATCGCGGCGTGCTCTGCGTTTGCTCTGGCTCCCCGCAAGCACACAGCAGCTACGGCACACGCACGCTTTGCCAGGCCACGAGACGCCCAGAAGACACGGGAACCGTGGGGCTCCAGACACCGGCCGACAGCTGGGGCAGTGAGTCCCCGCTCTGGGCC